GAGACTGTGTGATGAGGAGGCGATGGGGAGGAGGAGGGTTGCTGCACGATATAAAAGCTCTATGCCAATACAGGGCTGTGCTTCAATGCTGCCGAGTGAGAGATCCTTGGCTTCAATCTGAGAGAGACTGGTTGCTTTTGCAGCAGCAGCAGGGGGAGGACTGAGAGCATGGATGTTGCAGTCTTCCAGCCTGAACTTCTGAATATAGACTGCATTTCCATTTCTGACACTGTTGTTATCGACATGTGACCTTTTCCACTTGCATAACTTAAGGTTGCTTGTAAGAGTATTCCATTTATAATTGTAGAATTGTATTTAGACTTCACAAAAACACATTTTCAAAGCGTCACCCATACTCCGAGAGAAAACCTCGGTCCTTTGAAGTGCCGCGTGGAATAAGCCGATACATAATACCTATAGCTGCGTGTTCCTTTCTGCTTATCGCTGGCTAAGTAAGAGAGACACCCCTTTTGGTCCCGGCAGCTCCAGGTCTTTGACAACTCTCCACTGTACAAAAGAATAACAAAAAGTGCTTTCTGCGCCGCGTCAGATTGATCCGCCATTTTTACTTAACTGTGTGTTTTTGAAGACCACGCATCATTACCAACCATCTTTCAACTTCTTTGCCCTGTAGAGAGCCGTCGAACATCCCCGTCTCTTTCATGTGCCGCTCTGATCCTCCACGTCTCTTTGGTTCAGTCGCACAAGAAGAAAAATGGCCGCAGCACCTTTTCAAACGTTCCCAGGGATATTACGGCGTTGGGTTAAGCTCCGGCGAAGTTAGTTTTTCTCTGTCTTTGGCAGATGTCTGTCCCGCGTGTTTTCTGTCGCACTGATTAAACGTCATATGAACGAGTGATTTATTGTTACATACATCTGGAGATTATAATCTAGCGTCGATACAGGCCGCGGATTTGCAGATTAAGGAGAGTCGGCCATGTTTGGGCATTAAGGCGTTTGTTGGACAGATGCTGTAAGCCACAATAGTGAGCATTTCTATTATTACATGTTCCATTCAACAAAACGCTTTCAGAAATCCAACCGGGAGGAAAGGAAGCAAAGGGAGAAAGGCCCGGAACGCACTGAAAATACTGTCTGGAAGTAATTACAGAGTATAGATACAAACCAATGGAGGATTTTTCACTTTAACAACAACAAAGTCATTTAAAGTGAGTTAATGAAAAAATAAATTGGAAATAAATAATTAGTTAAAAAAGTTCTGATCTTGAATTAAGAATAATCTAGATCCTAGGGTTCAAAAAGGTCCAAGGGCCAAATGCCACACCCTGTTTTTTGGCCCCTGAAACTATGTTCAATTCTTATAATAACAATTGAATAATAGCATTGACGATAAGAGGGACCCTAGCATGTTATACCCAAGTTTAAAGTTTTCTCAATAAAACCATTTAATGTAATGTATTCTGTCATTTGAATCAATAAAGTTATTACAAATACATATAATCGTCCATCTACAATTGCGAGTTTGTTATTTAACCAAACTCCTGCTAAAGATAACATAACTTTTATTATTTACATTTGACTCTCGACCAAAATGAGTTCGACAGCCCCGATCTAGAACCAAAAGACAAAACCTTAATCCTGTTCACTTCAAGAAAATATTATTGCGGTTTAGGATTAATATTCAAATGTTTTCTGTTCTGTTTGGGAGCTCCTCAACAGGGGAGGAGCTCGGAATAGAGCTGCTGCTGCTCCGTGTTGAGAGGAGGAAGTGCCTGGATGGAGAAGTGTCTCTGCTTTAACCACGACCCAGAAACAAATATGACAAACATTAAACATTTGTAAAGTCCTTTCTCTGAGACTGAGACAGTTTTCATAAAAATCAAAGCACAATCTTTGGGAGCGAAGGATTAAAACATTTTGTCGGGTAAAGCCTGCATCAAAAATAATTCTATTTATAAATCTTTCTCCTCCGTCCCAGAAGTGAGCATCAGTAATCCTCCGGTGATGTCATTCTCTTTTGGCGTTCCCATTGTTTCGGTGAGTATTGGTCTCGTGAAGGCGGCGGCGGCGGCGGCGGCGGTGGTGATGATCATGAGGAAGAGAGGCCAAGTGCACTGGGACACTGGGCCCTGCATCTAGACAGGTCCTCCCCTGGTCCTCCCCTGGTCCTCCTCTGGTCCTCCCCTGGTCCTCCCCTGGTCCTCCCCTGGTCCTCCTCTGGTCCTCCCCTGGTCCTCCCCTGGTCCTCCCTCTGGTCTTCCCCTGGTCCTCCCACTGGTCCTCCCTCTGGTCTTCCCCTGGTCCTCCCCTGGTCTTCCCTCTGGTCTTCCCCTGGTCCTCCCTCTGGTCCTCCCACTGGTCCTCCCCTGGTCCTCCCCTGGTCCTCATCTGGTCTTCCCCTGGTCCTCCCTCTGGTCTTCCCCTGGTCCTCCCACTGGTCCTCCCTCTGGTCTTCCCCTGGTCCTCCCCTGGTCTTCCCTCTGGTCCTCCCTCTGCTCTTCCCCTGGTCCTCCCCTGGTCCTCCCCTGGTCCTCATCTGGTCTTCCCCTGGTCCTCCCTCTGGTCTTCCCCTGGTCCTCCCACTGGTCCTCCCTCTGGTCTTCCCCTGGTCCTCCCCTGGTCTTCCCTCTGGTCCTCCCTCTGCTCTTCCCCTGGTCCTCCCCTGGTCCTCCCCTGGTCCTCATCTGGTCTTCCCCTGGTCCTCCCTCTGGTCTTCCCCTGGTCCTCCCACTGGTCCTCCCTCTGGTCTTCCCCTGGTCCTCCCCTGGTCTTCCCTCTGGTCTTCCCCTGGTCCTCCCACTGGTCCTCCCTCTGGTCTTCCCCTGGTCCTCCTCTGGTCCTCCTCTGGTCCTCCCTCTGGTCCTCCCTCTGGTCTTCCCCTGGTCCTCCCCTGGTCCTCCCTCTGCTCTTCCCCTGGTCCTCCCCTGGTCCTCCTCTGGTCCTCCACTGGTCCTCCCTGGTCCTCCCCTGGTCCTCCCCTGGTCCTCCCTGGTCCTCCCCTGGTCCTCCCCTGGTCCTCCCCTGGTCCTCCCCTGGTCCTCCCTGGTCCTCCCTGGTCCTCCCCCTGGTCCTCCCCTGGTCCCCCCTGGTCCTCCCCTGGTCCTCCCTGTCCTCCTGGTCCTCCCCTGGTCCTCCCCTGGTCCTCCCCTGGTCCTCCCCTGGTCCTCCCTGGTCCTCCCCTGGTCCTCCCCTGGTCCTCCCCTGGTCCTCCCCCTCCTGGTCCTCCTGGTCCTCCCGGTCCTCCCCTGGTCCTCCCCTGGTCCTCCTCTGGTCCTCCACTGGTCCTCCCCTGGTCCTCCCTTGGTCCTCCCCTGGTCCTCCCCTGGTCCTCCCACTGGGGCGGGCCCAGCTTGTCTCTTGCCGTAATCCACGCTCGGTAAAACCTGATCCACGGGGATAATGTCAACTCAGTGCCCGAGAAAACGAGACAAAGCCGAGCCAAGAGCGGACTGGCGTTTCATTTTCTAATCTTCCATCTTACATCCTCTGGTCTTTGGATTTGTTTGGCCGAGCTGAGAGCAAAAACATCAAACACAAACATCAAACACAAACACAAACGTCTCAGATGTTTGTGTTTGATCCCACAAAGATCTGTGACATTAAATCCATGAATTTAAAACTTAGTTTAAGTTTAGTGCTGGACATTGAAGCCTTTGGTCTTTAATAATTAATATTATTTGATGTTTAGTTTTTTTGGTCATTGCTCTTTCACCCTGAACGGTTGTAGTGGTAGAGGTTACCCGGAGCACCTGGAGGAAACCTACACAGACAAGGGAGAACATGCAGACTCATGGTGCCATCACAGCAGTTACTGAGAAATACTGATAAAATACACAATCATTAATGCTTTTCTGAATGTGCTGAGAACCATCAGGAATTACATGGCGACAGTAGCTCAGTTGGTAGAGCACTGGCCTTTGAGCCAGAGGGTTGTGGGTTCGAGCCCAACCTTCACCATCGACTCTCACTGTCTACTGTTGTTGTGTCGTTGGGCAAGACACTTAACCTCTGGGAACACCAGCCACAGTGGGGCGGCTGCGGCTGTAAGGTGCCAAACTGCTGCCGTTGTGTCCTTAGGCAAGACACTTCACCCCCATTGCCTAGAATGAGTCTGGTGTGAATGGTTGGTGGTGGTGGGAGGGGCCAATGGCACAGACTGGTTGCCTCGCTTCTGTCAGTGTGCCCCAGGGCAGCTGTGGCTACAGTAGTTTATCACCACCGTGTTTGGAGAGAAAGAATAATGAAGTGAAGAGACATTGAGTGTCCAAAAAGCGCTTTATAAAACCAATGCATTATTATTATTATTATTATTATTATTATTATTAAATACATAAAAATATAATGTTTGTTTCCTTAAGTCAATGGGACACCAACCTAATATTGTTAGCTACATGTTTGACCGTGTTAAAGATCGTGGGACAGTGGATGGAAGTTTGCCTTGAGTCTGGGTGTTTATAAATGAACTACAAACAGTAGAATATCATCGAACCTAATCTAATACAATTTCACACAGAATATTGCAGGTTGTGTTTTATCTTCTTCAGTAACGCACAAGGCCATGTTGTTTTCCAAAGTGCTAAATCTGGTGTGAGACTCGTGGAGACGCAGAACAAAATGGCCTACCAGGAGGCGGTGGGGTCCAGACTCAAAGCGCTCTGACGGCGGCGCTTTAGAACCGTGAATCTTCAACGGGCCGAGCATCCGTCACGTTCACGCCCGGCTCCATCAGACAAGCGCCTGAATTATATATTTGCAGTTCTCCCTGAACACGGAGCCGCAGACGTCTCTCTCTCCTCCTGATGTGCTGCAGTGAATCATTGATAAGACATCCACAACAACAGCACTCCTGCCCATGGAACACCTGTCTCTGAGAAGACCCGCACGTGGCGTCTCCGAGGCCCACTGAGGCCCACCGAGGCCCACCGAGGCCCACGAGTCCAGGCACCGAGTAGCCTAACAGTAATAATAAATAGTAGTAATTAATAATAGTAATAATAAAAATAACAGAGTAGTAATACACACACACATCACATCATCTGTCAGAGAAAGGATGTACGCCTGTGCCAGTGGGGAGGTGAGGAGTCCTGGTCCCTGAAGAGGGAGCCAAGCTCCAGGGGCGCTTGTTGAGGTCTGTGAGGTCCTGTGAGGTCTGTGAGGTCCGTGTGAGGTCTGAGTGAGGTCCATGATGTCTGTGAAGAGGACCTGTGAGGTCTGTGAGGTCTGTGTGAGGTCTGTGAGGACCATGAGGTCTGTGAGGTCCGTGTGATGTCTGTGAGGTCCATGAGGTCTGGTGAGGTCTGTGAGGTCTGTGAGAGGTCATTGAGGTCCATTAGGATTCTGTGGGTCCATGAGGTTCAGTGTGAGGTCTGTGAGGTCCATGATGTCCTGTGTGAGGTCCATGAGGTCTGTGAGAGGTTCCTGAGGTCTGGGTGAGGTCCATTAGGTCCCTGTGTGAGGTCTGTGAGGTCCATTAGTCTGTGAAAGGTCCAAGAGTCTTGTGCTTCTGTGAGGTCCATTGAGGTCTGTGATCATGAGGACTGTGAGAGGTCCGTGAGGTCCTGAGGTCCGTGAGTCTGTGAGGTCTGTTGTGAGGTCCTAGAGTCTGTGAGGTCAGGTGAAGGCTCTGTTGTGAGGACCGTGAGTCTGTGTGAGTCCCATGAGGACCTGTGAGGTCCATGATTCTGTGTGAGGTCTTGAAGTCTGTGAGGTTGGCTCAGGGCGCTCCTGTATTTGTCTTGTTTGTTTTTTGTTGGCCTTGAACGTGGGAAAGCAGATGTACAGAAGGTTTCTCTCTGTTCAGTCTCATTATATTCCATGGATTTGAATGCTTCAGTAGCCTTCAGTAGCTTCAGTAGCATCATAAGCTTCTGTAGCAATCAGTAAGCTTCAGTAGCTACCGTAGCTTCAGGAGTTACAGTAGCTTCAGTAGCTTCAGTAGCTCAGTAGGCTTCATTAGCCTCAGGAGTTTCAGGAGTAATTGATTCCATTTCTCTGGAGTGAGGAGTGGCGAGTTGTACCGAAGCAGAGCAAGCCGTTTAAAGGTTGATTGTTTTTCCCAAAGGGTCAGATGTCGCTCTCCAGTGACGACACTCGTTGACCAATCAGACATGTCATGGTGTCGGTACGGACGCAGGAAGGAACCCACGGTCGAGGTGGTACTAAAAAAGTACCCCTTGATCCCAAGCCAACCTCAGTGGAATTGCCAAATAATTGTGCCGAGTGCCGTGCCGTACTGTTACTGTGGAAACGGGCATAAGTCCATAAAATAAAAAGAAGCTACAGTATCGTAGACTTGAAACATCCTTAAATAGAGGACCCCCCATGGCCTCGCCGGTCCATATCTTTCCTTCCTTTATGCATATCACAGCACCATAGTCTCTGGACGGTGAATTCCATTTCCTTGGCGTGACCCCATGATCCTCGATACTCAACATTGGGGAGTGATTATTTCTTTTCTCCGCATCTTTTCCTGCGATGGTTCTAAACGGAATGGAACGAAGGGCTCCTGCGTTCGCCAGTCACTAGTGCCTAATATAGCGCTGCCTCACTCAAGTCACAAGCATCCTCTTTGATCCACTTGGAGATCCGGGATTGCTTCAGGGATACGATGGAATATTTTAATGCCGTTGTGGGAAAGCAGTTGGCGGGTTTGCCTTAGTCACCTCTTTGCTCTAAGCTGTAAAGCCGCCGATGTGTGTGGCTTTGCCTAAATCGTGCTTGTTTAGAAACAAAAAATGCGGTTGGAGAAAGAGGGTCCTGGAGAGCCAGGGAACTGATGTCTTAATGGTTTACACAGATAGATACACACAGATAGATACATAGATATATACAGATAGATACTTAGATATATACACAGATAGATACATAGATATATACACAGATAGATACATAGATATATACAGATAGATACTTAGATATATACACAGATAAATACATAGATATATACACAGATAGATACATAGATATATACAGATAGATACTTAGATATATACACAGATAGATACATAGATATATACACAGATAGATACATAGATATATACAGATAGATACTTAGATATATACACAGATAGATACATAGATATATACACAGATAGATACATAGATATATACAGATAGATACTTAGATATATACACAGATAGATACATAGATATATACACAGATAGATACATAGATATATACAGATAGATACTTAGATATATACACAGATAAATACATAGATATATACACAGATAGATAGAACATAGATATATACAGATAGATACTTAGATATATACACAGATAGATACATAGATATATACACAGATAGATACATAGATATATACAGATAGATACTTAGATATATACACAGATAAATACATAGATATATACACAGATAGATACTTAGATATATACACAGATAGATACTTAGATAGATAGATAGATACTTTATTGATCCTGTTGGATAAATGCAGGTGTCCAGCAGCAGCAGAAACACATCCATCCATATCTACCTCACCCATTCACCCTCCCCCCTCATAACCCCCCCCCCCCCCCCCCCCCCCCTCCTCCACCCTCACCCCCTCCCCCTACAGTAAGCATTACAGTTGGGACAAACTGTTTTAGAACCAGGGCCTAGGTGTGTTTGTGATGTGGAAGTGAATAATTTCTCTGTGGAATCATGAGTAATAATAGTTTAATTTAGTTTTTTCTAAAGAACCCGTTGTTTCCCATAATCCTACATTAATTGACTCGTGTTTTTCCCATTTCCTGGATGTTTTTCACGTCCGTCTTGAAAAGGTCTGGCATGTTTCCTCTGGTGTTGGCGCAGAACGGTCCAGATCGATCGTCGTTGTTGTGTGGAGCGTTGCAGTGGGGGATGTTGGTTTAACGCTCGGTAATGAAGATGAAGCTGGGATCAGGTCGGAGCTCGATGGGAGGGTCAGGGATGTGATGAATGTGGGAGCGGCTGAGACGGATGAGGCCGCGGTGACGGAGCCGTTTGGTGAAGAGACGCTGTATTTCTCTGTCGTTTGATCCGAGTCATGGACCTCACCTGTTTGTGCTGAACTGTTCTGTTAAAGCTGCGGCGCCTTTAGGATTTAGACTCACTGTTTACATGGATCACTACAAACTATACTGTACGATGAGTCAGCAGAAATAACATACATTTATCAACCAAACATGATTGTATCTCATAAAATTCAAGAAAAATGGTCTTGAACTTCAGGGGCACAGTTACATTTAGGACATGACGTGTTGGAGGCTTTGTGAATGAATGAACCGGGCTGAGGCTTTTCACAGTGACAGGGCCAGGCTCCATTTCTGTTTGTTTTTGGAGTCACGATCTGTGTCATCTGTTGGAAACTGCGAAATGACTGAACAAATAAATACATAAATACAAATAAGAACATAAAGGGAAACAGATCATAATGTCCCGCGAGGACGTCCATTATGTGTGTGCTTGAACGTCACCATGACTACGACTGTCAGAAATGTCTACACGCCAACATTATGCTTTTGTTTTTGAATACTGCCACTACTTCTACCGTCATGGGTTGATATTTACTGACAAAGATGATGTGGAACTCACTATGGACTGGGATGAAGCAAATATCATCAAAAAACACTGACTCTGGATCATAGGGCAATGGGAATATGGAAACACCCAGGGCAATAAACCGGGACGAGGGGGCATTGTTACTCTGACACACCTGGTATTCTGTCCTGAAGAAGTCGGGCTGCAGAGGGCGCTGTTGTTCTAACTCTGGTGGGAGGAAGTGTTCAAAACGTTGTCCCCAAGTTTATCATGTTACTAACTTTAACAAAAGATTAGACTTTTTTGTGGTCATTGCTCTTTGAAAAGCAGCCGGTGTGTGACGGCTCTTTCTTATTAAGCCTGGGTTCACTTACAGTTTCCACATGATGAGGACTGGCCCAGGCCTCTGCGGGTCACTCACAGGCCGTGGCCGTCTAACCCCGCTCAGAAAATAGCCATTAAGCGGGTTTCTTCACTAATCCACAACATCTGGTGAGTGCGTGTCTTTGCACTGTATGTTTGGGCTCTGGACTTTCTCTTGTGAAGACCGAGGGGGAGTTGGCCCGGACCAGATGGGTCCAGTTGCGGATCTGCTGACCTAGATACGGGCCGGTCGGTGCCACCACCTTCACGGCTGCCAGAGGAACGATGGAGCGGCGACTTGGTGATGGACTGTACTCACCTGTTCCTTTTCCAACCAATTTGGCGATAGCGATCTGTGGAATGATTGGATTATAACGACCAGGAGCCGCAGTATGTGTCCTTAAATGTCACCCTGGCGACTACACTGCAAACATTATACAATACTAGGTCATGATGCTTGAATCAAATGGTTTTATCCTAATTTGAGCACATTCTGTCTTTAAACAAGATTTGTCAATTGGACAAAGACATTTAGTCTTTTTTAAAGAACTATTTTCTTTCTCATTCAAACCGAGACATTTCTGTATCTTTAAAAACGAGATCATTTTGCTTTGTCCCATCGGAGAATCTGGTTTAAGGCAGTCACAATGTGCTCTAATGTAGATACATTTTGCCAAATTTGAGCAATTTTTGACTTATTTTTGATCACTTTTTGCAGTGTAGGTGCGGTTTTGATGGCAACGTGTTCTTATATTTGTGAATTATTATTTTTGTGTATTGTCAATGAAGCGATACTTTTCTACCTCACACAGACACATTTATAACATGTATAATATGGACACACACACAAACCTGTGCTAGATTATAGCTTCCCTTTGTGCTAATATTAGCAATAATGCTAATAAGTGTCCAGCTTTGTGCTTAAAATGCACAGTGCACTTTTCCAAATTCAAGTGTCAGGGAAATGAAAGGAGCGACTTAATGCAGATAATGCAGATATTGCACATAATGCAGATAATGCAGATAATGCAGATATTGCACATAATGCAGATAATGCAGATATTGCACATAATGCAGATAATGCAGATAATGCAGATATTGCACATAATGCAGATAATGCAGATAATGCAGATAATGCAGATATTGCACATAATGCAGATAATGCAGATAATGCAGATATTGCACATAATGCAGATAATGCAGATAATGCAGATAATGCAGATATTGCACATAATGCAGATAATGCAGATAATGCAGATATTGCACATAATGCAGATAATGCAGATAATGCAGATAATGCAGATAATGCAGATAATGCAGATATTGCACATAATGCAGATAATGCAGATAATGCAGATAATGCAGATATTGCACATAATGCAGATAATGCAGATAATGCAGATAATGCAGATAATGCAGATATTGCACATAATGCAGATAATGCAGATAATGCAGATAATGCAGATAATGCAGATAATGCAGATAATGCAGATATTGCAGATATATCCGTGCCTCCCACAGACACTTAAGTGACCATTATTTGGAAAGAGAGCTGGCTTTGCAGACCCGGGTCCCCACAGACGAGGTGATCGAGGTAGACTCTGTCCTTTTGAAGGCGACTCTAGGACAGCCCAGCCTTTCACTGGCACCCTGGGGAGACGCAAGACAGATTAATGCAGTGGCTTTAATATTTCAGATATAAATGTATTACTTTCCCCTCTCTCTCTCTCGGCTGAGTGCATGGGCGTCCTCTCCTCTTCCCGCCCACTCCTGTCTTCAGTCCTGTGTTATCCTCTCCTGACTAGAAGCTTCCCAGTGTTTTCTGAAAGAGGGGGAGGAAAAAAAGAACCCTCTCGTCCATTGTCGACTCAGAGTGACAGGAAGTGGTGGATCGACAGGAGACAAATGTGGCGGTGTGTTTCGCAGTCCGTCGCCTTTCACGGTTTGTGACCTCCCCAACGACTCCGCCGCAGTAATCTGAATACGTGTGCGTCCATGTCACCTTGGATCAAAACCTCTCCTCTCACTCGGTGTAACCTTGAAAGCACTGGCCCCGTTTGTCAATGGTGAAAAAAAACAAAAAATATCAATTGAATTACATTTGGCCTGTAATCTTTAAGGCCCTTTGAGTCAAAATGTTTAAGCTGAATGTTGGTGATTTTTCGTAACTTGACCAGTCCTGACCCATTAAGACCCATTTAGACCGTTTTAGACCCTAATTTAGGTGTTTTTCTTCTACCTTTAATCATCTGTGGCAGGTATTTTGACCTGAGTGTAGCATAATGATCCTGAGGCGCTGAGAAAAACAATGAGTCCAAACTCTAATTATTGAAAACATATATTCCACACAGATCTCGGCCGTACAGACTTTTCATTGTGGTTTCTGTCACTCTGAGGCCTCGGGGAAAGCTCTAACGCAGTGATTTTAAAGTGTATTGTGAACAGACGTAAGCTGCATCATATTTTATTTATTTTTCAAACAGACAGAATCAACAGATAATGGCACAGTGTAAAATTGTCAGCACCCAGACAAACAGCAGCTCGTGTCTGGACTAAGAAACAGGACTCGGGGAAAATGCAAACACAGAGAAACCAAACATGGACTTTTCTATAACAACATTTTGTGTATTAACGAACTCAACTTGTGTAAATGTAGTAGTTCACACATGTTGCTTCTGGACTCAGCCTTGGTTCTGTTGTTTGAAAGGACGCATGGTTAGGTTGTTGTGGTTCCTTTGGCACCCCCTGCACTCTTTCTGGTTTCAATTCAATGTATTTTTGTATCGCCCTAAATCACAACAGTATCATCTCAGAGACTTAACAAAACCATTAAAATCACCAACACGGAATCAACAGTTAAGACACAAGAGTATAGACCACATGGTATTGGACCAAAGGGAGAGACCACATGGTATTGGACCAAAGGGAGAGACCACATGGTATTGGACCAAAGGGAGAGACTACATGGTTTTGGACCAAAGGGAGAGACCACATGGTATTGGACCATAGGGAGAGACCACATGGTATTGGACCATAGGGAGAGACCACATGGTATTGGACCATAGGGAGAGACCAATGTCCATGAATGTTGATAATTGTTGAATATCAACATATAAATATCCAACCAAGCCCCAGTAACGGCCATAGTCTCACCATGTGTTTGTATATTTATAATTTCAGTATTTGTTTACTAATGTATCCTATTCTAAATGGAGTGGGGAAAGAAGTGAAAGCATAAAACATATCGTCACTGATAAAGGAGATTTTCATCTGGAGCCACATTCAGGCCCGTCTTGAATATTCTCCTTAAGTCATCTTTTCAAGGCATCTCAGTGGATTTGCCGTGGCAGGTCGTGGTAGACCAGCGGGAGACAAATGTGGACAAAGAGCAGAGCAGAGTGAGTTTCTGTCCGCCTGTCTCTCCATCTAAAGGGTTCTTGACCTTGTGAAACCACCCCGGCTGTCTATTCATAGTAAAATGTTCTATGTAAATGTCACCTTTGATGAAACCGAGCGCTCTCCTGTCCACCCAGAACAGCTGAAAGGACAGTCCCCCACACCTTGCAGCTATTCATCAGACTGACAGCCCGCTTGTCTTGGAGTGTCAGAAAAATCCATTTGGACCACATTTTTCTTTAGTTTTGTCCTGCAACATCTCTCTCAAAGCTAAATATTTGAGACGTACATCGTGGATATCGTTTGGAAACATGTCTGCAGCCAAAGAAGAAGAAGAGACTAAATAATTCTGTCTTTCTCATACGTGTGTGATCCGTGAGCACAGAGGACGCCAAAGAGAAGGCGCCTCCGATGGGAGTTTTTCCGCTGCCTGGAAAATCAACGATGGAAGATAATTAGTTCATGTCATGAGCGTTCACGCCGCTCTGGCCGGACGTGATCCACATCCAGAGAATCGTCTTCATCATTCTACATCCTCTGTAATTGAGTGTTGGTTTACTGATTATTCTCCCTGTCGGACCTGAGAGACATCTTGATCTACGTGTCCTCTAAAGGTAGTGTGTGTGGGTTTAACCTGTCGAAGGCCCAGAGTTAGAAAAGGAACAGGTTCTGGCTAAAAAGATAAAAGTGTAAAGAAGCTGCTTAATTACTACATGTTTGAACAATAGACTTCTGCCTTCATCAGAGAGATTATATTATTATTATTATTGTTATGTATTTCATTATTGTCACATCACGGATATATCAAAAACCTCACATTATTTTGTGCATATGTTAAAACATTGCAATAACAAAAGCACTGGGACAGGTCTGACAGATCCATCAGACCGACCACGCCCCACTGCCCTGTGGCGTCTGCAGGACAGAGCCCCAGGCGTCTGGAGGACAGAGCCCCAGGTGCGAGCCGAGCTGAAAGCCCCCTTGTCTCTGTTTATGGTCCGTGCGTCCTGCTTCCTGATTTAAATCTCCTCCATTTGTGTTCTTCCGTTTCTACTATTCTTGCCTTGCCCCGAGTCCATGATGTGATTTTCTCTTCTGCAGCGGTGTCAGATGTTGCTGGTTTGAGAAATTCCTGTGTTGCTTTTCTTTAGTCCTGTTCAGTTTCTTGCCGACATAAAGAACTGTACATTTTGTCTCTGCAGTTTCAACATGAGCTGCTCCCACGGAGATAAACAAAACTCTTGTTGAAAGATATTTACTTGATTATGTGTTAATTAAAACATTTAACAAATTTCTGTTCCAAATGGATTTTTCAGTTGTTTTGTGATGTTTCTTGCAGATTTTCTGCCCTCATTAGAATAACATGACTGTAATGATTTAGCATTCCAACAGTATCAATTTGATATGGCAGAAGCTGTGAATAATTATGAGAAAACGGTCATCAGCGTGAACGGCTAACAGCATACTAATTATCATAATTGGTCTGTTTCATCTATTGGACCAGAAATAAAGCTGCAGTTGGTGAGTTGTCCTTCTGTGGTCCTCGCAGCCGGGCCTCTCGTCACTGACTTGGTGAATGTAATTGCCCTTAAACCCAATTTTCTTCGTAATATTCAGAAATGGCCCGAGATGTTCCCACCTCAGACCTTTTCATTCCACTAGAATATCTAATACGGCCATTTAATCAAACAATTTCCAAACAGCAAAGTGCTCATTAGTCTACCCATGTAGCGGAGTCCCAGGACTTGACCTATGCTCGAAGTTGGCGGTCAGCAGCCATTGCGAGCCTCTTCCTCTGCGTAGAAAAACATTGCCTATAATTGCCTCATTATGACCTAAATGCTCTTTCTCATCGCTATCATCAGGTTTTCCATCGGTGTCATTCTGGCAAAGCACTACAGCTGATCAAGATTTATGAGGAGATGAATTATACTAAAACGGTCATCAGCATATAGCCTTCTGCGTGTGAATGAGTGCAAATATCATTCTAATTAGTCCGATTATTGGACCAGGAATGAAGCTGGGGCAATTAGCGTCATCACAGCCACAAAACATCTGCGAGTTTTACTCAGACCCGTCGAACCTTCCACCGGTTCCACCGACCCACTGCCATCTCTCCTTTTCTATCAAAAGCTCACAAATGTCCTGCTAAAAATCCAAAGCACAATGTCGGGCTGATTGTCATGCATTAAACATGAGGGTCTTGATGAGATAATCATATCCCTTTGGTATTGCCGCGTGTAACACTGGAAAGGTAGCCATAAGCGCTAGCAGCAGCTAAACAGATGCTTCGCTGGAATCCATGTGACAGACTGTTAGGAACACGACAAATGGAGACGTCTGCGAAGATCGAGGAAAACTGAACACTTTGTGTAACTTTGGAGAGATACAGTCCACCTACAGTCCACATACAGTCCACATACAGTCCACGTACAGTCCACCTACAGTCCACCTACAGTCCACCTACAGTCCACATACAGTTCACCTACAGTCCACCTACAGTCCACATACAGTCCACGTACAGTCCACATACAGTCCACCTACAGTCCACCTACAGTCCACATACAGTTCACCTACAGTCCACCTACAGTCCACATACAGTCCACGTACAGTCCACATACAGTCCACCTACAGTCCACCTACAGTCCACCTACAGTCCACATACAGTCCACGTACAGTCCACGTACAGTCCACATACAGTCCACATACAGTCCACATACAGTCCACATACAGTCCACATACAGTCCCCGTACAGTCCACCTACAGTCCACCTACAGTCCACCTACAGTCCACATACAGTCCACCTACAGTCCACATACAGTCCACCTACAGTCCACATACAGTCCACATACAGTCCACCTACAGTCCACATACAGTCCACGTACAGTCCACATACAGTCCACATACAGTCCACCTACAGTCCACATACAGTCCCCGTACAGTCCACATACAGTCCACATACAGTCCACATACAGTCCACATACAGTCCCCGTACAGTCCACATACAGTCCACCTACAGTCCCCGTACAGTCCACATACAGTCCACATACAGTCCACATACAGTCCACATACAGTCCACATACAGTCCCCGTACAGTCCACATACAGTCCACCTACAGTCCACCTACAGTCCACATACAGTCCACCTACAGTCCACATACAGTCCACATACAGTCCCCGTACAGTCCACCTACAGTCCACCTACAGTCCACATACAGTCCACATACAGTCCACCTACAGTCCACCTACAGTCCACGTACAGTCCACATACAGTCCACGTACAGTCCACATACAGTCCACGTACAGTCCACGTACAGTCCACGTACAGTCCACCTACAGTCCACCTACAGTCCACATACAGTCCACATACAGTCCACCTACAGTCCACCTACAGTCCACATACAGTCCCCGTACAGTCCACATACAGTCCACATACAGTCCACCTACAGTCCACCTACAGTCCACGTACAGTCCACCTACAGTCCACGTACAGTCCACATACAGTCCACCTACAGTCCACATACAGTCCACCTACAGTCCACGTACAGTCCACCTACAGTCCACCTACAGTCCACATACAGTCCACATACAGTCCACCTACAGTCCACCTACAGTCCACATACAGTCCACATACAGTCCACATACAGTCCACCTACAGTCCACCTACAGTCCACCTACAGTCCGCATACAGTTCCCGTACAGTCCACTTACAGTCCACCTACAGTCCACCTAAAGTCCACATACAGTCCACCTACAGTCCACTTACAGTCCACCTACAGTCCACGTACAGTCCACCTACAGTCCACATACAGTCCACATACAGTCCACATACAGTCCACATACAGTCCACCTACAGTCCACCTACAGTCCACGTACAGTCCACCTACAGTCCACCTACAGTCCACCTACAGTCCACATACAGTCCACATACAGTCCACCTACAGTCCACATACACAGTCCACGTACAGTCCACATACAGTCCACATACAGTCCACCTACAGTCCACATACAGTCCACCTACAGTCCACGTACAGTCCATGTACAGTCCACGTACAGTTCACGTACAGTCCACATACAGTCCACATACAGTCCACATACAGTCCACATACAGTCCAGCTACAGTCCACCTACAGTCCACCTACAGTCCACCTACAGTCCACGTACAGTCCACCTACAGTCCACATACAGTCCACCTACAGTCCACGTACAGTCCACCTACAGTCCACATACAGTCCACATACAGTCCACATACAGTCCACCTACAGTCCACCTACAGTCCACGTACAGTCCACCTACAGTCCACCTACAGTCCACCTACAGTCCACATACAGTCCACATACAGTCCACCTACAGTCCACATACAGTCCACGTACAGTCCACATACAGTCCACCTACAGTCCACATACAGTCCACATACAGTCCACCTACAGTCCACGTACAGTCCATGTACAGTCCACGTACAGTTCACGTACAGTCCATGTACAGTCCATGTACAGTCCATATACAGTCCATATACAGTCCACATACAGTCCACATACAGTCCACATACAGTCCACATACAGTCCACATACAGTCCAGCTACAGTCCACCTACAGTCCACGTACAGTCCACCTACAGTCCACGTACAGTCCACCTACAGTCCACCTACAGTCCACATACAGTCCACCTACAGTCCACATACAGTCCACATACAGTCCACCTACAGTCCACATACAGTCCACCTACAGTCCACATACAGTCCACATACAGTCCACCTACAGTCCACATATAGTCCACTTACAGTCCACCTACAGTCCACATACAGTCCACATACAGTCCACATACAGTCCACATACAGTCCACGTACAGTCCACGTACAGTCCACGTACAGTCCACATACAGTCCACATACAGTCCACGTACAGTCCACGTACAGTCCACGTACAGTCCACATACAGTCCACATACAGTCCACGTACAGTCCACGTACAGTCCACCTACAGTCCATATACAGTCCACCTACAGTCCATATACAGTCCACCTACAGTCCACATACAGTCCACATACAGTCCACATACAGTCCACATACAGTCCACGTACAGTCCACGTACAGTCCACCTACAGTCCATATACAGTCCACCTACAGTCCATATACAGTCCACCTACAGTCCACATACAGTCCACATACAGTCCACATACAGTCCACTTACAGTCCACCTACAGTCCACATACAGTCCACCTACAGTCCACCTACAGTCCACCTACAGTCCACGTACAGTCCACCTACAGTCCATATACAGTCCACATACAGTCCACATACAGTCCACATACAGTCCACATACAGTCCACGTACAGTCCACGTACAGTCCACCTACAGTCCATATACAGTCCACCTACAGTCCATATACAGTCCACCTACAGTCCATATACAGTCCACATACAGTCCACATACAGTCCACATACAGTCCACTTACAGTCCACCTACAGTCCACCTACAGTCCACATACAGTCCACGTACAGTCCACATACAGTCCACCTACAGTCCACCTACAGTCCACCTACAGTCCACGTACAGTCCACCTACAGTCCATATACAGTCCACATACAGTCCACATACAGTCCACATACAGTCCACGTACAGTCCACGTACAGTCCACATACAGTCCACCTACAGTCCACGTACAGTCCACCTACAGTCCATATACAGTCCACATACAGTCCACATACAGTCCACGTACAGTCCACGTACAGTCCACCTACAGTCCATATACAGTCCACATACAGTCCACCTACAGTCCACCTACAGTCCACATACAGTCCACCTACAGTCCACGTACAGTCCATGTACAGTCCACCTACAGTCCACCTACAGTCCACATACAGTCCACCTACAGTCCACCTACAGTCCACGTACAGTCCACGTACAGTCCACGTACAGTCCATGTACAGTCCATGTACAGTCCACGTACAGTCCACATACAGTCCACATACAGTCCACATACAGTCCATGACTTTTACTTTAGTTACTTTAACAGTAGTAGTAGTAGCAGTAGCAGTAGTAGTAGGGCTGCACAATATTGGAAGTTAGAGTGATATTCAATATGAGGGTTTCGTTTTGCGATATTTTTGTCTTTCACCTAAAATGCATTGAAACACAAGAGAAAATCAACAAAAACATTGATATTCACATGCATATTAGCATTAGCATTAGCAGTAGCATTAGCAGTAGTAGTAGCAGTAGTAGTACATATAAGTACTTTACCCAGTACTTCTGCCGGAGAAGGTCTGTCCTATAATCATGTAGCAGTAGCAGTAGTAGTAGTAGTAGCAGTAGTAGTAGCAGTAGCAGTAGCAGTAGTAGTAGCAGTAGTAGTAGCAGTAGTAGTAGCAGTAGCAGTAGCAGTAGTAGTAGCAGTAGCAGTAGCAGTAGTAGTAGCAGTAGTAGTAGCAGTAGTAGTTGCAGTATTAGCAGTAGCATTAGCAGTAGTAGTAGCAGTAGTAGTAGCAGTAGTAGCAGTAGTAGCAGTATTAGCAGTAGTAGCAGTAGTAGTAGCAGTAGTAGCAGTAGTAGCAGTATTAGCAGTAGTAGCAGTAGTAGTAGCAGTAGTAGTAGCAGTAGTAGTAGTAGCAGTAGTAGTAGCAGTAGTAGTAGCAGTAGTAGCAGTAGCAGTAGTAGCAGTAGTAGTAGCAGTAGTAGTAGCAGTAGTAGCAGTAGCAGTAGTAATCATGTTATCGCACCGTGCTGCATTAGCCGTGTCAGGCGCAGGTCAGGGTCGCCGTGACAACCTGTCAGGCAGCAGAGCGTGGCCATCCTTTACTCGGCTCGGCTCCAGCGGGGACCTACATTCCCCCAAGTGCATTGTGGGTCAGAATAGAGCCTGGTCCCAAGCAGACTATCCCTGTGACCTGCTGCTTCCCTGTTCTCTCTGAGCTCACACCTGAGAGCTGCATTTCAGATCCACTGTGTTCATCTGGTTTTCTTCATATTTACAGACAACAGAGAAATAAATATGCTTGTTTTAGGCTTTGTGTTGATGATGGAACTTTAGACTTTTTATAGAAAGGTTCAAATTATGCAAATATAGTTTAGGCCTCGATCTATTTGGTCATGTTTTGTTCTGAAGTATGTTTGTACAGTATTATGATGTTGTACCTCTGCTCACTTATCAGTCACCTGTACCTCTGCTCACTTATCAGTCACCTGTACCTCTGCTCACTTATCAGTCACCTGTACCTCTGCTCACTTATCAGTCACCTGTACCTGTGCTCACTTATCAGTCACCTGTACCTGTGCTCACTTATCAGTCACCTGTACCTGTGCTCACTTATCGGTCATCTGTACCTGTGCTCACTTATCAGTCATCTGTACCTGTGCTCACTTATCAGTCATCTGTACCTGTGCTCACTTATCAGTCATCTGTACCTGTGCTCACTTATCAGTCATCTGT